TGATATAAGTTAGTACCATCTCAGTGTATTTCCCATTGGAATGTCCCATCTCGTTGACCACCTGTCCTCAATAATCTTATGGAATCGATCTTGTCTACTTGCGCCTTATCTTGGTCTACGTTCCAACCACGATGGATGTCAGTCAAGCCTCTTTCATTTGCTCCTCTCTCTTATGAAGCTGACTGGTCCCTTATTTACAGCAACCACACGCATTTGACAAGCTCGCAGCTATCTCTGCAGCTACCTATTGCGTAGCTTCTCGATTGAAGTTCGTGATTTTGGATAGTAATGTGTCGCTCAGAAACCATGTCAGCCATGAAATTCCTTCCGAAATTCCAACCCCACCAGAGAGACTGGAAAAATTCGTCTCAGGCCTTGCCCAGTGGCAGATAATACTATTGTCTCGGCTGAGATGGAACTATGATTCAACTCTCTCTTTCGGAGTCTCGCGGCGTCTCCTCCCTTTTTTTGCGGAGCACAAGCTCAAGCAGCTGGAGATTTGCCAAACGATTTGGGAAAAGTATATTCGTCGGCCTATGGAACCTTCGGAACTCGCAAAATTTCCCTCCGAACTTACGAATCTTTGGGCCTGTCTCAATTCCGCTGGATTGAAATCGGAAGCAAACCGCACCTAAATGGCACTACATCGCGTAGCTGCTGTTTCAGAGGGTGCCAATTGATTGTGTGTTTAAATAGTCTTCTTGAATTAACTTGTTTACTTTCCTTCACCGAGATCCATCGCCCGCTAAAACAAATACTGCTCCGTGTAAAGGGAAACTTTGGACCGGTACAGATAATGATGGTATTGTAATGGCGCATTTCTTTACCCTAGCAAGTTGCAACACATCCAAGGCCAAAGTGTGGGAAGAGTAGGGAAGGGAAGGACTTGTTCCCGAAATTGTTGGCTCAGCGAACTTCGTTTAGTGCGTATGCTACGACAAAATTCATTCTTATACGGGTATACTTTATCGTCTCACAATTCAACCCCTTCCCCAGTATGCGAAGAAACATAGATTTGAGCCCATGCCAAGCAGGGGTCGACCACTCCATGGATTTTACCCGTTCGACTTACATTGCCCCGGAGCTGATTTATGCTGTAGTTCTGAATAGAGCCTCCATCGTTACTGATATGCCATGGTTCTGAGGAGTGCACTTTGAGGATATGATTGCTGTGGGCCTCTAAACCGGAAGAGATGGGTTGTTGGTGGCGCAACGACTTTTTAACCAGTGTCCCAGTCCTTTAAAGCGGCAACCAGAAACCTATCCCGGTGTCTACTCCTACTCAGTTACCTCTGGGAGAACGAAAGGTCATCTTACGTATACATTTGCCATTACAGGGCTTCATTACTGACAGGTTCCTAGGAACCAGGTTACGAAGCTATGCTGATCCTCGCGTCAATGCTCGGCAGGGTTAGTCGACACATACTGAGCCCCACAAAACTAGCTTTACAGCTATGTGATCGTTTTGGTGCTGTGTTTTGCTTACGATCTAGACTTGTTACTACTGGCGCTAGTGCAGAGCTGACAGGGATGTCTGTCTTCTCACGGGCCATTGTGGGCTCTCCAATTTGGCCAAAGCGTTGAGTTCCACCGTATTGGTATAAAGCCCTAGTACAAGTCTTTTGCTGCTATACAAATAGCCCAGAAAGGCTCATACATCCTCTTCCCTCAGTGATTGCCAACCCAAAGGGTTTTCTTCTCTACACCAAATTCTCCCTACCATGGCGGTAGAGCAGTCCTCCGAGGTAAGGTTCCGACCCATGTTCGTGACTAGTCGCTTAAACTCCGAAGCATACGTCGCTGAATTTTGCGGATATACACATGGCGCAAACCCCGTTGAAAGCCCTTCATGGATTGTTTTTGAGCGACATAAAGCTGGGAAACAAATCAACGTTGCTTCATTTGGAGCCTGAGACATCTAGTCTCATCAATGTATGCCAAGCCCTCACAAAGAGCCCTGGCAAGAGGACGCTCCAGGCTTTGGCCCGAAACCGAATACTGGAAATCTACACACAAGAACTTGTTGTACAGTTTACAGACAGAGCTCAAGCAATGCTGTCGCTCCTCGCTTGGCACTTTGACCCGGAAGGTGCATCAATTTCCAGTGAGCTTCTCCAGTTTTTGGCTAAGCCCTTGGAGCAACTGCATCCAGTTTGCACACAAGTCTACCCGCGTTACAACTCTATTTACCGCGCTGAAACACTTGAACACTTCAAGGAGAAGTTTTGCCGCCTTTTAGCGCGACTACCACTCCTTGTACTTAATGGCCTTGAAAATTTTCTATTGGGGGGTGTGGCATTCTCATTTGGCTGTGGATTCTCTTTGGACATGCACTGTATTCGTCAACAAAGCTTCCAAATTCAGTTCAGCCCCTTCGACCACATGGAAGCCGTGAAAGATAATACTAGATCTAGGAGAGATGGTTATACATGATGTGGTCTCTCCCAGAGTACTTTCTTCTTCGCTTGTTTCCGGTGCTGATCGTTCTGATTTTACCTTTCCCTCTTTGCCCTGATGCACAGGAGCACTAAATTTAATTGTTGTTTCGGATCTTCGAATGCATTTCTCAATAATATATATTTTTCCAAAGAACCCAGCTAATCGCTCGTACCAACGTCCCCAGAGATGTTTTGTTCAGGTGTTATGCCAAAGCTAAGAGTCATGTTAGATCAGATCATTTTGGCAAAGATATCAATGCTCTTACGCTTTTTCTTGAAAGACATAACCAATGCTTAGATACTGGTGGAACGACGGTGGCCCACGTCGGGGGCGTCCAGACAGCGGGTCCTTGACTTTCTTACGTTTCATGGCTCCCAAGTAATACGGGAAAAACGTCCCCTCATCAGTTGACATCAGGCCCCCGTGTGTTTTGTTACACATTTGTCGACAGTGATCTCGGAAATCAGTCATGGTGTTGAAATATCCAAAGTCTTCATCAACGCATTGAGGGCAGACAAACTTCATTCCCGATGCCGCTGCAATTTCCAAAAGTGATTGCATCCTCGAGACAACGGGATGCGGAATCTTCAACACTCTGTGCTGAACAAAAAAGCTTATTTTAAATGCAGCTGCTCGATCAGAGGGCAAAACAAATTTCCCGTCCCTATCTTCCCGCCCAACTAGCCTTCTATAGCTGTGGTCGAAACTTGACTGTTCCTCAGACGTAAGCCCTGCATGGATTTCGTCCGTCTTCCTCTTGAGATGGTTCTTCAATAGGTTGAAATCGGCGTAACTTCTGAGACAACCAGGGCAGACGTAATGCTTGTTTGCCTCTTTGAAAATGCGGTTGATAACAGCAATCTTTTCTTCGTCTTCCGCCATTGTAATAGCAGAATTGGTGGTTCTCAGATATTTCTTTCTGAATGAATCCAGCTCGAATGTGATGAGGCGCCGATGAGGCTAAGGGAAAGAGCGAAGGACAGGATAGACCTCAGAGGAGGCGGTACCACTGGCTTTAGTTGGCGTAAAGTTCATCTCGCACGCTCATATTCGGGGATAGTGCAGGCATTAAATACTAGATAGGATAGTCAGTACATATGCTAGCTGTCGCCGCAGATCGCCCTAAAGCTCCATTCTGCAGCCGCAGGGAGGGCGTGTATTTTTAGTATTCTAATTGGAACACGAAGCGATGCAGTTGCACAATCCCTGCAAAATCTTGAACTACGTTTCTGACATGGCTTGTTGCGAAACTAGCACACCTCGATTCGATGTTATGGTTCTATTCCCATTGCAGAAAGGCACGGGTGATCAGCTGGTCTTTGCCTATCGAACGTGTCTCATACAGGCATCTTATTTGTTATTTGCCTAAATTCCTACTTTTATTTTCTTTTATTGAAAGCCTATCCCCACAGGGCTTGCTGTTACAAGCCCCGCTTCGTTCAAAGCGGAAACGAGAGGTATTACTTTGGTCTCAACGCAGAGTGGTAGCAATTCAGTGTCAATCCACACCAAGACGAAAGATTAGCATTGCCTTGGCGAGTAGGCGAGCTTGGAGGTTCGCTTGCCATTGGATATGTAAATTAGGATGATGGGTCTATGTAGAAAATGAAGCGGATGGGGGCAAGTAGAGTGAAGCGTGGTATAACTCTTGGACAGTTTCAGAGTTCTTGTTTTCCAGACCACAATTTACCAGCAGTCTGTATCCAGTGTATGATCTAATTATCTCTGGTTGTAGGATCTTGTAGCGTCTGAACGACAAGTTCATGATATCGTGAACTTCGTCTGGGGTCTTCGTCACCTGTCTGACTTCGCATTGAACCACGTAATATGCCTTTGTGCCTTGGTCACCTCGCGGTGTAACACGATCTATTATTCTCATATTGCGCAGCTCAGACTATGTTTTTTATTGATTGATTAGTTCTTAGATCCATAGACAGAAACATAACAAAATGCAACAGCTCCGGGAGACTCACTGCAAGCTTGTCCAGACTTCCGGCAGAAATATATTTAACGTGAGGGCCAAGCGCCGAATTCGGATACTCTGCTTCTAGCTCGAGAGTCATTGAATTGTCGTTCAAGTTACCAAAAGGGATCCCAACCTTGAGGGCCTTCCTGTGACTGCTCCCTTGCACGGCAGCATCCGAAGAGCCCCAAGAAGCGAGACCAGAGAGTTCTCGATATACTCGTATTTGACATAATAATGTAGGCGCTCGTAGAGTAAACCGTGGGAGAACATAGACAACTTCGCAGAAACAGTTTCAAAGCAGCGTAGCGCTCATCTGAAGTATTCGCGATCTAGAGGTTAATATAAAAAAGCGGTATTATACACCCCTGAACTTTACTAAAGTCCCGTAACTTGATACCATCCTCGCCATTGGTAATTTTGTCCAAGTCTAGGGCCGGATAGACCGTCCTGGAGCTGAGTTGATCAGAATGCCCGCTTAGATCAAAGCGAAGTTTTGGACCAAGTTATTCGGCAGGCATACAAAAGCCAGATGATCGAAGGAGCGATATTATTGTTACTCCAAGCGAGCCGCACACGGGCTGTGTAGACGCCCTTGTCATCCTCGATGGCGAAGGGAGAAACGACGGATTACGTGATCATTAGGAGTGGCAGGAGCAGCAGGAGTGGCAGGAGCAGCAGGAGTGGCAGGAGCAGCAGGAGTGGCAGGAGCAGCAGGAGTGGCAGGAGCGGCAGGAGTGACAGGAGCGGCAGGAGCGGCAGGAGTTGAAGGAGCGGCAGGAGTGACAGGAGCGGCAGGAGCGGCAGGAGTTGAAGGAGGTGTAGCAGTCGTAGGAGTGGCAGGAGTGGCAGGAGTGGCAGGAGTGACAGGAGCGGCAGGAGTGACAGGAGCGGCAGGAGCGGCAGGAGTGACAGGAATGACAGGAGTAGTGACAGGAGTAGTGACAGGAATCGTCTTTAAAATGAGGTTTAGCAAAGTTTATGTTTGTTTTGTGCGGAGCTGGTTCACTGGACTGTCGTCCATGATCCTGAAGCACATCTGTCCATTTTCGCTCCACTTCAACAGGCGCCGAGCATATCGTTTCAACCATAGTTATGTATGCTCGTTTTTGATAAGATGGTACTGCTGATCGCCTGTGTGTGCCTCTCATTTTCCACGATGCCTTCCCTACCGTGACTGAGGTTTTTCATGACTTCTCTTCTCCGATGAGTGGCCCCTTGCTGAGTGACGACCGCCTAGATACTCGGAACTGATAGTAGTCTGTGTTGGCGTTGTTATCTTCACATGATTTATCACGTGATTATGAGTACCCCACTCCACGTGCCGATGTGACCACCTGAGGATAGCGGGGTTGGGCAAAATTTCACCTTTACGCCTGACCTCGCAGTTTCCGCTGCCTATCGGCCACCAGATATATCCATGTCTAAGAGCGCTACAAGTTCAAGTAAATCTTCCCTCTTATGTCAGTGCTAGCAAAGCTGACGTCTCAGGGCGAACTTCCAATATCCGAAGCTATCTTGTCGTTTGTTCCGAAACCTTGCGATTAAAACGAGATGGAAGACGCAGATGTGGAAAAATTGGAAGACGCAGATTTGAAAATCCTCCTAGTACGTCAGGCCCCCAGAAACGCCCTTTACGATTTTCGTGACATATGATCTGATTGATACCTTGCAGAGTCAACGTTGGGACAAGCTCACCAAGGACAAAACATTCTTCGAAAAGGACAACTGCAAACGTCAGCCGATCGGTTACGTTTACGCTGCAAAGCATGAAAGGCGACTTTATTGTTACAACTGTCAGAATATTGACTTTCAAAATGAAAATGGGACTAGCATCTTGACAAAAAGCGGAGACGGGGAAATGGAACGTCTTCCGCCACATGTCGGGGTTTATATTGTCTGGGGAACATGGAAAACCGAGGAACATGAGCCCTCAACCTAGACGATTGCATTTCCCTCAGCATATAACATTAGGGCAATGTTCATTCCCAACTCGAACCCAATGCGCAAGCTAATTATCGCGTGCTGGGGATCGTTGCGTCGCATTTCAATTTTAATACAATTTGTCCTCTTCAGAATCAAGTGGCTTTTCTCCCAAAGCCGCAGTTGGCTACTTTCGATCGCGTCATAGACAGATTGACTGAAAATCGAAGTGATAGCGGCGGTTGATGCCCCTTGTAGGGTGAAGTACGCACAATCGCCTAAATGGTACTCATGAGCAGGGTCCACGTCGGAAGTCACATCGAAGTAGAACAATATCAATCTTACCGGTATTTGGTAGACCAACTTCTGCCCGTGGACAGGCTGTTGAGAGTTTGTCTGGTGGTTCCCCAAATGGAGTATCGGAGACAGAAGATATAAGGTTGGGGTATGTTCTCGGAAACAAGACAGCGGCAAACTCGCTTGCTTTTCCAACATCCAGAATGACTAGAGCATCTTGAAAGTTTTGTCGAGGGAATTGTGTTTTGACACATTCTGTTGTTTCGATGTTGTGGCGCTTGTGGACTGGGGAGCTTTCAACACCTTCCGATATTCGTACCCCGAGTATATCTCGGATTGATGTAAGGTTTGTGGCATGATATGTCCAGGGATCTTGACTTTCAGCTCCAGTTACGGGAGCCAACGCGTTATACAGGACTTCACAGTCGTTACGTAAGAAACAAAGCGCCGTAAGCTAGAATGGTGCATACCTTGGGTGAAATGGAACTTGATCAACTCTGCATATCGAGGACTGTTATAGATACCAAGAGTGCCAGATATATTATCAAGAAAGTCCCTTGCTTCATCATCCAAGTATATTGAGAGTCTCTCATTGTGTTGTTGACGGAAGGCTGTTATATCGAACTTGGTGGAAGCTGTTGGGGAGACCTCGAGCATGAAAGGAATTATAATATATGGATCAATTTGGAATATCTTCAGGTAAACCTGGTGGGCCTTCTTTAACCGTCCATATGCTTTGAGTTCCTTGTTCGAGCGCGGTGGTTTGGTAAGTGGTTGACGGGGGTATGATTTGCAAAATATGGGTAAACGTTCTTCCAATACCGATTGGGAAGCAGGAGGGATGGTTTTGCTTTCGATCAACTTGTCCCTTGCCTCATAAATTTCCTGCAATTTCATTTCTAGTGGAGTAGTCGAATGATGAGATTGTGATAGAGGATGCTTTCTCACTAGTGTGCTCGACGGACTGGCAGGCAGGCAGGAGGGAGTGACAGAAGCGGCAGGAGTGGTAGGAGGTGTAGGAGGTGTAGCACTCGTAAGGGTGATAGGAGTGACAGGAGTTCGTAGGTGTAGCACTCGTAGGGGTCACAGGAGTGACAGGAGTGGCAGGCGTGGCAGGAGTGGCAGGAGTGACAGAAGTGGCAGAAGCGGCAGGATATGTAGGAGCGGCAGGAGCGGCAGGAGTTGAAGGAGGTGTAGCAGTCGTAGGAGTGACAGGAGTGGCAGGAGTGACAGGAGTGACAAGGGTGACAGGAGCGGCAGGAGTGGCAGGAGTTGTAGGTGTAGCACTCGTAGGGGTGACAGGAGTGACAGGAGTGACAGGAGTGGCAGGCGTGGCAGGAGTGGCCGGAGTGACAGACGCGGCAGGAGTGACAGGAGTGGCAGGAGTGACAGGGGTGACAGGAGCGGCAGGAGTGGCTTGGCGTCGCAGCTCGGATCAAGTGAGGCGAGACGGCGATTATTAATCGAAATGTGCGTGTTACTCTGACGCGCTTATGCGTGTGATAAGTGGATGGCAAGTGGATGGTAGTGGATGGTAGTGGATGGTAAATGGTTGGCAAAGAGACTGGCAAAGGTAATGAAGATGGTCGCGCGAATGCTGCAGTGGTTGATGAACAATACCAAAGCTACTGGCTCGCTTACATAATGTAGCATTGTATGTATTGAGTCGTACCTGTTTGGTTGGCTACGAACGACTCGGAATTGCTGCAGCGAAATGTTCAGACCCATGTGATCTCCAATCCCCTCATTCTTTCTCGGTAGATAGGTCTTCGTTGATATTAACCTATAGCGATTTATCGAGTAATGGACGACAACCGTGCGCGCGTTCAACTTGGAAATTCTAGTAGTATATATATCCTTATAGATCCCTCATTCAAATGTTGTATCAGAAGTTCTACAGGCACTTTGCACAACGAGATACTTTGAAATCTTCCTAGCCCTCGTCAATAAGGCAAACATCTTTCACTTAAACGTATTTCAATTTTCGATCATCTATGAGTTGTCATTCATGCTAACTTTTCGATTAGATGTGTTGGTTACGGTATAGAACATTCGACGGTCCCAATGGCTGCGGCTGCACCTTCTTCATTGCGGTCCTGCGCTGTGCTATGTCTGAGCAGCGTCACGATCAAGCCTACTGCGAACCCCAAAGCGGCAAAATTCGAGATCTTCCTCGATTATACCCTGATGCAGACAAAGGGCACCCTGGTAAATGCCCAGTATGCCTTGGCATTACTCCCAGCAGCTCCGAATTTTCAGAATTTGGAGAATGACAGGGACGAGGAAGTTACATCAGTGTTCTGCGTATGATTGTGGAAAGTCTCATCTGCCAGTTATTTTCTATTCTGCAACTACCTGATTCTGGACCCTAAAGTTGGTGGCATGATGTAACTTGTGTGCTCGTTTGTCGTCGTCCAAAATCTGTACTCGTTTCGATTACTTGGATATATATTCCATTAAAGACTTACAGAAGCCAGTGTTCAGATGTTTAATGTATGAACAACCTCATGGAACGTAGCAACTCGGAAAACGTACGAGTCCTTAATTTTAAACACGACCATAGAACCAAATGGATTGTTCATGCGTTGACCGCCTCAACTTCGTAGATAAACACAGCATGAATGGCCATTACAGAAGCACTTTCAATATTTTACCACATAGTCGGGAAAGCGTTGATAGTGGATACCAACACCTTTTGTCTTGGTCCGTCAGGTTCGACTTCCCCATGCAATAGTCTCCCCTTCTTGGCAGTTCAAGTACGCCCATAGTCAAGCTCGTATACCATCACGATCGTCGAAGTGGTACGAATGGCAGATATGGAAGCTATTTCAAACCCGGCGCAGCTGGCTAGGACGGCCATGAGCGCCTTCTGAGATTTCAACCTTGCAAAAAATCAGACATCCCAGTCGGTGACAGTTAAAAGGACACTCACTACTAGATCAAGCTAAGGCGGGGGATATCACTATATGTCGTATTTTATAGTTTGTTGATATGGCTTTTGCGTTTAACCTAATCTAGTAAAGGTGCGCCTTCACTGGTTGCTATCTCAGTCCCGAAAATGCCATCCTTTTCGTAGCGGTGAGGTCACCTGATTTAAAACAACAATTGATGCAAGGGGTTGATGATCAGGTCAGCGGTCAGGTCAGCTGAGCGTTGCGACGGTTATAAATGGGAGTGGAACCCCAATCATAACAGTCTTTCATGTTGGCTTGCAAACTAAACTTTCCAATGTGCTCTAAGAGAGTGATACTGCGACTTCGGGAAGATGACTTTCCAGACATATCATACACAGAGATTGTTGCATGCGTGAGGGCATATTTAGTCTTCACTGAACGCCCTGCTGAGGAGGCACTCGAAGGGAAGCATTTTTGGCACTTCCAACCTTCGAATGGTAAAGCAGACTCAAGGTTTCATATCGTTATCGACATCGATAGAGTCGGTCATTCGGGCGCTATCCAGCAGACTTTTCCTCATGAGATCTATCGTGTCATGAAAATACAAAATGAGATGTGAGATAACGTGCTGTCCGACGAACTGTGAGGAGCAAAAACTGATCACTTGCATTAGACGCATAGTTCCTTATTCCCAGAAAATGGTGCGGGACAGCCTTTTATGCAAGATTCGCCCATTTTCTGATGCTTTCTATCCATGGGGGCAGGATCAGGTGGTCGACGTTGACCCTAATCCATAGGGGTAATTGGATCAGACATCACTACCCAAGAGAGTGACTAGGGTATTAACTACCCAAGTTGATAGGGTCTTTACGGTTGTTTCTATATATGCGGGAAATGTAAGGATGGACTAAGAAAAGGACTTCGAAATGGCTTCAGATGAGGGGATGCATGGGACACAACGGGCCACTTTTGGACCACATGTATCTGAATGAGGATTCCTCATAGATTTTCTCTTCTCTTTTCCGCTCTCCACACACGATGTTTCTTCGAAAATAACACAAAAACCTCCTGTGTTTCGGTAATCTCCCTTGTCTTGTTACAAAACATTGGCTTTATCGCATCCATCAAGTCATTAGTTATAATCTATCACACTTAAAATGTACGTTCAGCAGCCTGCTGTTCGCCGTGCCAGTGAATACGGCATATACCAATCTAAATGTCACGATTTGTCCTGTATCCACCCAATTGGAGATGTAAATGACGCTGTATTTCCATTACCCCTATTTCTCACTATTTATGGGTCCATTCTAGTTACATAAGCTATACTGACGGATCATCTATAGACCCGGTTTCATGCAGTATTCGTAAGGTAATCGCGACTCTAAACGTTAATCACGTGATCATACGTGTATTTTCTTATCAGGCTGAAGTTGGGGCTCGATATCCCACTTCATGAGCACAAACCTGGGCTCAAACCCCTCGCGACACGATTCTTATCCTGGATCGTCAACTGCAAAAGTAAATATAAATCCAGGCTCGTCTGCTCGGAGCAGGTAGACATCAAAGGTTGAGCTTGAACCGTCGGATCATATATGCAAGCGACGTTGTGGGTTGCGAAGCGCGATGTGCTTTTCATTACTATGATGATGATGATGATGATGTATTCATTTGCCCGATGTAGCTCGCTCTATATATATGCTGCTATGCGGGAGTGCTGTCAGGCCTGCCGACAGCTGGAAGGTGGTCGCCAGCCCACTGGGCGACCGTCAGGGAACTCGCCTTGCGAATTTCTGATCAATCGCCCTCGAATCGAAAGACGTAAACTAAACAAAAGAAATGCACGGATGCAAACATGATAAACACAAAGCCAAAATGAACGTCATTTACCCCTGGTCGCGGGTAGGACCAGGGCCCCGCTTCAACACACCATTCCCACGCCCTCTTCTCTCCAACTGTCCAGTCTTGTCGGCTGCCGCTTGCGCGCTCGCTTGGATCAAGGGAGTACAGTGGACCTGGCACTGCACTCCTAATGGGCGCCATCCTTCTTCTTCCGTCACACTGTCTAAGGGATCATTGTCTCCGCTCCTTTGTCGTCCCCTTCCTCGCCCAGAGCCGTAGGGTCGACTGTCTGAAATTGGCCTAGGAGGCCGGTCTTGACCATGAATTCGGCCACAACTGTGCGGGCCTCCGGTCGTGTGAGGAGTTCGTCCCGGTGGAGAGCGACTCCCTGGTATGAGAGAGCGCTTCTCATCCAGTCTCGCTCGTCCTGGTGCAAGGGGCATTCCAGTAGGACGTGTGTTACTGTTTGGCTGCCAAGATCGCAATCACACCGCGCTGTCTCGCGTCGGTTGATACGATTCAGGTAAGCCCCTAGGCCAATTCGCCCAGTTCTAAGCTGCATCAGAATCGATGTCGTCGCTTTGCGCAAGCCCGTCCAGTATTCCAGCGTCTTCTTTGTTGGTGCTTCAATCAAGCGTTTCGTCGGACGACTGGTCGCTTCCTTGGCCCACGTTCTGTCCCACTCCAGCTTCGCTTCTCTGCGAATTCGTCGTCTCGCTGCGGCTGCGAGACATATGTCTCGGTTGAGGGGGTTATGCAGCCCGTCCTGTTCCTGCGCCGCTTCTTTTGCGTGTTGGTCCACGATCTCGTTGCCAATGACTCCTTGGTGCGCAGGAATCCATCTGAGTTCTGTCCGAATGCTTCTGCCCGCAAGTTGTCGGATCAGGTTGAGGCATCCTGCTAGATAGACCTGTCCTGACGGCATCCGCGGTCGTCTCAGCGCCTTCAGCGCTGCTTGGCTGTCTACAAAGATGACTACCCCGTTTTTCGCCTGCTTAGCCCATGGCTCTGTGCTTTCCAGAACCATTTCAAGTGCCATCTCAATGGCTCGAAGCTCTGCCGCATATACGGTGGACGTATTATCATCTCCCATCTGGCTATGAGCATGTTGATCCTCAAGGTCCACGACCGCTGCCGCTCCGATCCTTCCATCAATTCCGCTCCCGTCGGTGTACAGAATCAAGGGTCTTTCTCTTGGGTCTTTCATCAGGATCTGGTTGTGATTGTTCACCGCAGCTTCTCTGTCCTCGATGATTACCTCTGGTGGCGCTTGCCATGGTGCCAGGACGAATGCCTTTCGACTCTCCCATTTCCTCGTCAAAGTATCCGGGGGAGCCATAAGACATCCGCCCGCCTTCCAAGCTTGCGCCTCCATCGGTGACCATCCAGCCCAGTCTCTCTCATCTGCCGGTCGTCGACGTAACATCGTTGGCGGGACAGCGAACTTTGGTCCTGTCCGTAGTCGAAGGGCCGTTTCTTTCACCAGTCGATTCATGTGAACAGAAATAGGCGGTAGGTGAAGCTCTGCATTCAGTGCCTCTGCTGCCGTAGTTCTGAAAGCTCCACTGATGAGACATGCTGCCTGCTTCTGGATTGCCACGAAAGGCCGACTGATTATGCGTGCCTTGGAATGACTGATGAGCATAGGTTGATACCACGCGGAAACCCCAAAGAGCATCTGCGGGATTATCACCGCTTGGTAGATCTTTCGCATTGCATAGAGTGAGGCTCCCCACGTTGATCCTGCCAGGCTTCGTAGTGCGTGGAGAGAGACACCGGCCTTGGCCACCGCTTTCTCGCGGTGATGGTGGAATTCCAGACCCGGATCCAGCCAATAGCCTAGGTACCGCTCAGCCGTCCTCGTCGCTGTCACCGTGTGTCCTCGTAGAGAAAGCGATGTGTATTGTGGGTCGACTTCCC